AGAGGTCGCGGACGTCAAAACGGCTCACGACCACGGCAATCCTACGATGGCAACAATACTTGGAACTCACCGTACCCTAACCTTAACCCGGGTCTCTTAGGCCCACGCCCTNCCCAACTTACCGTAGTGCTATGAAAGATCCAAACTGGCATGCTGCTATGCGTGATGAATATAATGCTTTGTTAAAGAATGACACATGGGAACTAGTACCCCCCTCCCCCAACCAAAACATAATCACCGGTAAATGGCTCTTTAGACACAAATTTGGCCCGTCTGGTGAGTTATCCAGGTATAAGGCCCGATGGGTGGTCCGCGGATTCAATCAACGTTTTGGCGTTGATTAGAACGAAACTTTCAGCCCCGTCATCAAGCCTGCCACGGTCCGAATTGTCCTTAGCCTCGCGTTGTCTCGTGGGTGGCCCATCCATCAGCTAGATGTCAAAAATGCCTTCCTCCATGGACAGCTTCAGGAAACCGTGTATGCCAGCCAGCCCTCAGGATTTCAGGATGCAAATCGCCCTCATCACGTCTTCCGGCTCAAGAAAGCACTGTATGGTCTGAAACAGGCACCCCGGTCATGGTATCACATATTTGCAGGCTTCATTCAGACTATTGGTTTTCGCACCTGCAAATCTGACACATCTCTTTTCATCTTCACGCATGCCTCGGGGACCGCCTACCTCTTATTATATGTTGATGATATCGTCCTCACTGCCTCCTCGCCAGGACTTCTTCAGAGCCTCATTCAGAAACTCAAGGCTGAGTTTGCCATGACAGACATGGGTGATCTGCATTTCTTCCTCGGCATTAATGTTCATCGCACTGCTCAGGGCCTCTTCCTTCATCAGACACAGTTCACTCACGACATCCTTGAGAGGGCAGGGATGGTCTCTTGTCGCCCCATATCTACTCCAGTCGACACAAAGGCAAAGCTTTCTTCCTCCTCTGGCACGACACTTCCAGATCCTTCTCTTTACAGGTCCATCGTTGGTGCTCTACATATCTCACATTCACCCGACCTGATATCACTTATGCCGTTCAGCAGCTCTGTCTTCACCTTCATGCGCCCCGCGACTCCCACCTCACGGCCATGAAGCGAGTTCTCCGCTACCTTAGCGGCACCGCCACCCACGGCATCTACCTGACACGCTCCTCGACAGACTATCTCCAGGCTTACTCCGATGCTGATTGGGCTGGCTGTCCCGACACCAGACGTTCTACTTCCGGGTACTGTATTTTCCTGGGCGACAACCTAATTTCATGGTCTTCAAAGCGCCAGGCCACCACTTCCCGCTCCAGTGCAGAGGCAGAATATCGGGCTGTGGCAAATGCAGTTGCTGAAACATCTTGGGTCCGAAATCTTCTTCTTGAGCTCCAGCAACCTCTACGACGCGCCACCCTCGTCTTCTGTGACAACGTCAGCACCGTCTATCTCTCATCGAACCCAGTTCAGCACCAGCGCACCAAGCACGTTGAAGTCGACATACACATTGTGCGAGACAAAGTAGCACTCGGCCATATCCGAGTCCTTCACGTGCCCTCTTCTTCACAGTATGCTGACATCTTCACCAAAGGACTACCTTCTCTACTCTTCCTCGAGTTTAAGTCCAGTCTGGGTATCAGACCCCCTCCTCATCCGACGTAGCTGGGAGCATGTTAAATATATTCTATATTTAATGTAAATATATTATTTCCTATTATTGTCTCCTTCTTTGAATAGGATTTGGAATATATTGTTTCCTATTATTGTCTCCTACCTTGTATAGGATTAGGACTCCTTGTGTATATGTAGACATGTACTCCCACATATTCAATCAATGAAATTAACCTTTTTACATTAATATACCATGGCAATTTTTTACTGCTACAACACCTTTACCTTCTATTTGAATGGCATAGTGGTTGCCTAGCTTGACCTCGAACTTGTAAGATTCGTCAAGCTCTTTGAACATCTCCTTGTTGAAACACATGTGATTCGAGCAGGCGCTATCTACGAACCACACATCCTTGGGCATTTCCACGGCATCTGCAACTGCCATGAATAACTTGTGTTCATCTTCTTCTTGAACATAATTTGCTTGCTTCTCCTTGGACCAACAATCTACTTTCACGTGCCCGTATTTGCTGCAATTATAGCACTGAATATGGCTCTTGCCGCCTTGCTGCTAAGCTTTTGCACCTGATCGACCCCCACGACCTCGACCTTGGCCACGCCCACGTCCTCGGATACCTCCTTTGCCTCGTCCTCTTGCTGTAGAGAATTCCTTTTGATTGGAGGGTTCACCTTTCACTTGAAAAGCTTTTTCATCACACTTTTCAAATGATCGGTTAATCCTTGACTCGTGGGCTTGAAGAGATCCCATCAGTTCTTCGAACGAAAAACCCGATAGATCCTTCGATTCTTTAATCACAGCTACAACATGATCAAACTTTAGAGTCAAACTTCTGAGTACCTTCTCAACGATGGTCTAGTCTGTGATCTTTTTTCCGCAAGACCGCATTTGGCTAACTATTGTCATTGCCCTCGACAAAAAATCAGCCACTGATTCTTAAAGACTCAAGCAATGAGGAAAAACTCAAACAAGAAAATGATTTAGCAATCAAAACAATTGCCTTGCTTGGATATAAGGAGGGGATTGAGTAGAATCTCTTTGGGTATTCAAAGGATTGTTTTTGAAGTGTTTTCAATGTATATTCTTGGCCAAAACACGAGATAGGGTAGTTTATAAAAGTTAGAGAGTGGATAGGGATGAAAAGCATTCAAAAAACTAGCCGTTTGGTAGTTGAAACTGTCGAACTATTCGACTAAGTCAAGACTTAGTCGACTAGGTTTGGTGATACTGTAATCTTATTCAACTAGTTTTGGATTTATTCAACTAAGTCAGAATAGAATTTCAGGGATTTATTTGAATAGTTTTCAATTTATTCGAATAGTTTGCTGAAAAAAATGTGTTTTAAAAGTAGGATGATAAGGGAATGAACCTTAGAAATGTCATACTCTTCAACACATAATGTAAGACCTAAAACACTACCCAACTAAGGAAACAACCTCTTCGGTCTCGTTCCTTCCACCGATGCTCAAGTCCCTTCTTCACGGACGGATATGAACTTGTTGTAGCTTTGATTCTTAGCCTTGATGCACAAAATGATGATGATGTTTTGTCACCCTTTTTTTCATTATCAAAACCTAAAAGACAATGGGCAAAGGACATTGCAAAAATACATATTCATGATAGCACATTGTCCAACAATTTCCCTCTTTTTGATAATGACAAACCCGTTAGGAGATATGCATCATACAAGGCTAGTTCCCCCTCAAGTATAACATCATAAATCAAACAAAGACATACAAATCTATACTATCTTCCCCATTTAGATATGCACAAATACAATTTCCCCTGAATATATGCATATCTACACCATCTTCCCCCTTTAATTTTGACATTATCAAAAAGAGATGGGCAAAAAGATATATGCTCATGCAAATAGATATCAAACAAACAAATAATATCATTTTGTCCAACAAAAGCATAAATCAACATTAGTTGGAATTAATAAAGTGAATCAACCTCCCCCTTGATTGATGTTTCACCCAATTATGTGCTTGGCGCATCTACTTCAACTCAAGTCGAAGTGTTCAAGTACACCTTCTTTAATGAATCTACGAAGCAAATCTTGGTACCCAATGCCTTTTGGGTCCAGGGGTGTTATGACAATATTAAAAATCATATGAACGATGCATCACATTATCTTGACTTAGAAGCAAATGCCTATACTTAGTGCAACAAACTGGTGTGATGTGTCCTACTTTATTACAATAATGACACCTAACACTAGGGTTGTTCATATTTCTAGGACGCGTGATGTGCTTTCTAGGTTGTCTATCAAACTTAGAATTTCTAGAATAACTTAGTTTATTTCTAGGTGATCTATAGTATTTAATCTTAGAGGTAGATTTTTGTCTAAATTCATTTTCAACTTTCTTCATAGCTAATTTCAAATCGTCTACCTCTTTCTTAAGCGCTTCTATCTCAAGACTAGAAGACTTACATGAAGAACAAGGTGAATCATTTGAAATCAAATTAGTCTCCTCAAAAGTTTTATTTTCAATTTTGAGGGAAACAATTTCTTTTTGCAAAATATTACTCCCTCCGTCCTAAAACTTTCTTTCCGGTTCGCAAAACGAAGAAAAATCCCAAGTTTTTTCAATCTATTTTATTTAAATATTGGTATAGAAATAAAAAATAAAATATACATATTTAAAAACTACATCAAAAAATCAACAAAACAAGTGGTGACAAGAATATTTTATTTTATCATATAGGCAATGAAAAAACACAAATAAATATAAATTCCCGTAAAGTTTGAATAGTGCTATGGGAAGAAAGTTTTAGGACGGAGGAGTATTTTTCTTTTGCAAAAGGGTGATTTTATATTCCAAATCTTTGGCAATTGATGAGACCTTCTTAAATTCTTTAAATAAATCATCAAATGCTTCTTGTAGTTCTTCAAAACTAAAAGGATCATTAGAAGAACTTACCTCTTCGGATTCACTTTGAGTCATAAGACAAATGGCTACTTCATCATCGGATGAGGAAGATGAGTTGGAGTTGGATTGCTTTCGGCATTTGAACTTCTTGAATTTTCGATTAGGGCAATTGTAACGCTCTGAAACCCGGCTTAGTAGTTAGCCGCTATTTTAATAAAAATGAATATATTATTTATTGACTTCAAAATATGAATTATTTGTAAAGTTGGCCATTTTAATTAAAAATTAGGTTTTTGGGTAGGTCTCGTAAAATGGTGACCAACGGTATATTACTTGTCAAGTTTGGAATTTCGTGTGAACCGTAGTGAGGGAAATAGTCAATACAGTTCAATAAATTAAGGTAAAGAAATTGAGTAATTTTAAAAATTATAATAATAATAATAATAATAATAATAATAATAATAACAATAATAATAATAATAATAATAATAATATAATAATAATAATAATAAATGAAAAGGGAAAGAAACGTATCCGTCTAGACCAGAGCAATCGCCGCAATAGGCAAATAAATGGTCCTGCCTTCTTCTTCTTCCTTCTTCGTCTCCTCGCCGCGGCTGGCCAAACCAGAGGAGCAAGGGTCGGAGAGAGAAACACCGGAGTTCGCCAAAAAAGTTCGCCAAAGCTTCTTCGCCGGAATTTTTCGCCGGTTCAAGGTGAGTGATTTATCTCTCGTTAAGATTGATTCATAGATTAGGATTCGTTAATATGTTCTCATCCAATTGAAGTTGAATTTGTAGATATGATTGTTGAATTGTGTGAATGATTGTGCTGAATTGAATTTGAAATTGGAATCGGGTTTAGAATTAGAATTTGGGTTTTGTTCTGTTTCTTTCATGCGCAATTCCGTTCTGCTCTGTCCCCGTCCGATCTGCTCGGTGTTCTGGTTCCTCTCTGATCTTCTATTCTGCTCTGTTCTATCCATTACGACGGGGAACTCCTGTCTCCTTTGTTGCTCTTGGGAGATTTGCTGGTGCTGCTACCGGTTGAATAGACGCCGCCGATTGTTGTTGGAGAGCCACTGTTCTTTTACCGTCCAGGAAGTTGGGCTCCGGTGTGGGAGGCGTGCTTGGCTTTCTAATTAATAGTTTAAGCATGGTTTATGGAATTCAACTTTGGCCACCATATTTTGCTATACATTGACCCCAAATCTAAATAACCACAAATCAATTTCTATTTATCTTGATAATAAAATGTGTTTCAATAGAGGGTTTGTCATAACATGGAACTTATGGGTGAATTTGGAATGAAATATGCCACTTAGTAAATCTAGATGAACTGGGTTGGATAATTAAAAATTAGCAATAGAATCAAGATTAGAAATTAAGGTCATGCGGGTGACGTCGTTCATCCGATGGTCTCGAGGGTTAAAAACGTGCGGACGGTGGTCATTGACCCCTGGCGAGAGCCAACGGGGGCCTCAACCCCCTCCATTGCGAGAGCTTTGGAGTTATGAGTGTGGGTTTGGGTGAGAGCCTGGATTCCATTACTCCCGTAGGTATGAATTGGATTATATTTAGCAGGCGTAAGTATGCGTAAGAACTAACCTGAATTATCAGGGTAAATAGTGGCACAGTTGGATAATTATATTTGCTGATCCTTCTGATATTGTTTGATTATATATTAATGGGTGCTAGTCTATGAGTTAGTTTTAGCGTTAGATACTTCCACTCTCCCTATTTTTACAGGTAGAGATCAAGAACTGGATGAGTTGCAGCCTGGAGGACAGTGAAGTGTGACGCTGGTGGATTGCCCGAGGCTGTTTGAAATTGAATTAAATACTTGTTGATTTTTATTTTGTTTAAACTACAAGAGGATTTGACGACATTGTTTTAAAGGCTTCCGCAATGTTTGAATTATTTACTCTGATTAATTATGATTTGTTTCTCAATAAATGTCAATGATTTTTTTGTTTTTAAGAGTTTTGAAAATATTATGCATGTGAATACCAAATTAGTGACAACCCGACTTGCTAATTCATCGGTTCGGGTTACGCGGGTTGGGGTGTTACAGCAATGACCCTTGATATGTTCACGCTCTCCACATCCATAGCAAGTAGGCTTTGTACTCTCATTCAATTGCTCAAGCTCATTTTGCAAGAAGTCATTAAATAACTCAAGAATGTCACTTTCTCCAGAGCCGCTTGTCTCGATATATTTTGACGATGAAGCTTTGAGTGCAACTCTTTTGAATGATAAATTTTGATCCCTTTTGATCTCCGCTACACTAGAAAAGTTAGACATTTCATAAGTGAGTAGTTTACCTTGAAGTGCGTCATATGTCAATGTATTGTAATCTCAGCCTTCTTTGATAGGGTTGACCGTAGACTTCCATTGTGGTGTGAGACTTCGAAGGATTTTTCGAACGAGAACATGATCCTCATAATGCTTTCCAAGTGTATCCAAATTTGAGACGATAGTTGAAAATCTCTCGAACATGCCATCTATTGTTTCATTTTCCATCATCATGAATAGCTCATACTCATGGGTGAGTAAGTCGATCTTTGAGCCCTTCACTTGACTTGTTCCTTCATACGTGACCTTAATTTGTTCCACATCTCATTGGCCGTCTTGCACCTTGAGATTTTCCGGTAGTCATCCGGGTTCACAGCACAGTATAAAAAGTTGATGGCCCTTGAATTTAGTTGCATCTTCTTCTTGTCATTTGAGGTATATTCGGTCTCTAACTTTGGAACAAGAACCCCGTCAACAATCTTCGTGGGAACCGTCTCTCCATGCTTGATCACCAGCCAAGAATCATAATAATTGATTGGATGAATATTCTTATCCTCTCTTTCCAATAAGCATAATTTGTGCCGTCGAAGAGTTGTGGCCTTGTCGTGGATTGTCCTTCGGCAACTTCGGGTTGAAATATTCTTCCGGCCATGATCTTTTTAAATTTTCAGCGGTAAAGCTTTGAAAATCTCTCGCTCTGATACCACTTGTTAAACAACTTATGCACCTCTAGAGGGGGTGAATAGAGGTGTTCTTCAAAAATCAAAACTTTTGGAAGAATAAACGAAATTCGCACGAGTATATCAACCACAAGAACACAAAGACCATTGATAGTCCCGTCGCCGCCCTAATCACAGTCGTCAGCCACACCACCACCCCATCGCTGTCGTCATCCCCATGCGCGACCATATCTTCCCCTCACCATCCCTGCCATCCCCCCTGCCAACGCCCACCATCAACACCACCGTGCCCGCGGCACCATCGTCACCACCATCCGCCATTGTCACACGGGGGAGAAAGAGAAAAGGGACGAGAAGAACGGAGGTGAAGATAAAGCTATAGATCTGCCAGATCTAGGAGGAGATGGATAAGAAAGGAGAAAGGGAAGAAAGAGGAAGAGGAGGGAGAGCCACTGTGAGATCGAGAGAGAGAAGAGAGGATGGGTGGGGTGGGGGAAGAGAGGAAGTCGAAGAAGAGGAAGGGAAGAAAAAGAACGTAGATCTGATCTGGAAGGAAAGAAAGAAGAGAGAGAGAGAGAGAGAGAGAGATGGGGGGCGATGGAGAAAAAAGAGGAGGGAGAAAAAAGAAGAAAGAAGAGAGAAGAGTGAGATTTGAAGGGAGGGGTATTTTTGGGACATTTGGGGTTAAAATTAGAAATGGGAAGATTAATTCCGGATGGAGAAAAAGGAGAAATGGGAAGATTATTTCCGGACGGAGGGAGTACTATAGATGAAAATTCCAAGGTCGAATAAATAATATTTGAAGAATTGAATTTGTACTCAACAAAAGTGTTTTTTAATACCTAATTTTGTAATAGATTTTAGGATATACAACATTTTTGGTATGGTTGCTAGGATTTCTATTGTCATCTAGAACCAATATTTGTTATCTTGTCTTTGTCTTCAGTTTTGAAACAACAACATAAAGCTGATCATGGATGAAGAATAAATTGGTTAAATATAATCCAACAAATTACAATGTTGACCTTGCCTTTTGTTGATAGTGATTGCAAAAAATAAAACTATTGAGAATTGTCATCTCTCGAACTTCAGTTGTAGTCCTGGATAAGACGATACCAAATTCATTCGAAGTATGTAAACCTTTTCTCCGACTCTATTTTCCAAAACCATTAAAGCATCGATAACACTCTTTCGTAGCTATTCAAACTATTTTGATACCCCTTTTTAAAACCTATTTTGTAGTTTGACATCTTTGAACATTTGAATTCATTCAAAAACTTAACTGTTATCCAATCGCCATCAACATTATATTTACATCTAAATCTTACATGAATAATCAAAACTCTTCATCTCCAGGAATGAGGGATATCAAAAAATCATTTACCATTTCTACAACCTCAAGCATGCGTGCCAGTAGAGCCCTATCCTCGAAAAGAGAATAACTTTTTGAATAAAAAATAATACTAATCCTATGTTTTGAATGAAAAATTGTAAATACATATGGTAAATTTTATTTATTTTTTCTTTTACATTTGAATAAGTAATCATTCAAGCCCGTGAAAACTTTATTTTTTAATTTATTTGATTTAAATAGTTACTCTCTCCGTCCATGAGTGTTTGTCCACTTTCATTTTTACACACCATCCAATGCACTTCTTTAATCTATTTTATCTTGTAATTTGTATATTAAAAAATTATAAAAATTATATATTAATAATCTATATGTCAAGACGAATCAAACAAGATCACACATGACTATTTTTAAGCTTACACATTGAGAGAATTTGATGAGTCAAAGTGCTTAGATGAACAGTTCCAAAAGTCAAAAGTGGACAAATACTCAGGGACGGACTAAGTAATCATTAAAAAAATAGTCTAGGTGTATTTTGTTTTATAAAATATTAATTTAGAGATAATTAAAAATAATATATTCTATATTTTAATTTAAGTATCATTTGCTAATAGATAATTAAAAATAATATATTTATAAATTTAGATCATAAATGGTCTAAAACGTAATAAGTTTTCTAGTCATTAAATCAAATCATAAAATTAATATATTTAAACTACTAAATTATGTGTAGTATTTTTTCTAGTTGAAGATTAGTATAAACCAATCATATAGTATTTTTTAAATTTTATATCATTATTAAAAAAATGTATTCAAAATTAATTTTTAAGGGTGGAAAGAGTTACATGTTTAATAATTATTGAAAGCTTTGTTATACATAAAGAAAGAAAAATATTGAATTCGAAAAGAATATTATTATAAAATGAAAATCTAAATTTCATATTTAAATCTTTAAAAAATGTCATCCTAAAATATTTAATTGATATTTTCTTATCTGAAAATTAAGTGAAATAAATCACATAATAAATACGCATATCAACTTTCTATATGAGTCTCGTTTTTATTTATAAAAGATTTATTAAAATTTTAATAATTTTATTTTGAATAAAATTAAAATTTTAATTTAATCTCATGTCAAGTATTATTTGTAGTATATTAAACTGTTAATCACACGTTGAATTGTTTTTTGTGTGAATACTAAATATTTATTTAAGTATATTATATACTAGTATTTTAACCCATGCCAAGCACGGGGCCCAACTAAATTTTTGTTGATTATAAAAAATTTCTTCAATTTCTTAAGATTATGTTCTTTTGGATTCTAATTTTGAGAATCTATTTGGTTAAAAGGAATTAATTTTTTGAAAGAATACAACTCTACAATTACATTTAGGTTGCATAAGTGGTAGACTCATTTTTCTTGGAAAAATAATTTCTCCAAGAGGAAAAAATGAATTTTTGGTATGTTTTCGATGAAAGTTCATTTTTATTCAATCCTCAGATACTTTAATTTCTCGATTGAGTTCATTTCCCCAACCCACCCCAATCCTCTCCCCCTCCCCTAACCACCCACTCCCTCTGCCCGCCCCTTAAAATATTTTTTTTAAAAATATCACAAAATATCTTTATTTTTTATCCAAATATCAACAATATTTCAATAGAATATGTGTGGTAGAACGATTTATCAGGAAACATATTTTCTCCTAGAAAAATTGTGGAGACACATGTTGTCCCACAACCAAATGCGCTATTAACTTCCAATTGTTTTCAACTTTTTCAATTACTTTCAAACTTCTTGTAGTATCTTCCAACACTGTCTACTTTCTCCCAATTTAATTCTTCTAACTTTTTCCATCTTTTTTCAAATCTGTCTCTACTCTTTTTAGTTTTATCTAACATCATTTGATTTCTTTCAATAGTTCATAGAACGGTTTTAGAGTCACTGGCTCTGGGGTGGGAGAGTTTACCGGAATGTCGAGGGTAGAAACTATTAATCTTGTGAATGGAGCACCGTAAGTACTCAAACTGAAGCTAGTGTCGTCCAGAGCCACTCAAAGTGAGTGGATGTAGAATCAATCCATATTATTATTATTGTTATTGTTGTTGTTGTTGTTGTTGTTATTATTATTATTATTATTATTATTATTATTATTATTATTATTATTAAAACTACTACTATTATTATTACTACTGCTACTACTGTTATTACTATTATGCCACATGTTGCGCTCCTCAAGTTAACAATCGACTTTTTATATATAAATGATATACAAATATTTTTCCTTTCTATTAGTGTTATATCTTAAAACATGAAAAAATAGCTCCGGTGCCTTGTGATTTGAAAAATAAGCCTTGACCAATGATATCAACTCTCTTTTCAAAACTTAGTTATAAATCTATATGATTTCCAAAAGTGTCATGTATGCCCCCTCCATTAATGAAACTCAAGCGTTTGCATTTCATGCTAGGGGAGTGCAATTGAAGTTTTAAAGTGGGGGCTAGCACTCATTTTCTAAACCATAGGGCACAAGAACGTGCTTCAATTTTTATTCATTTTTTTTATTTTTTTCTTTTTGTTTCT